GGGGGGAGGGGGAGACGTGAGAGAATCCGATATGAAATTTCACGGGCCACCTGCATAGCTTAACCGCTCGTGGCTGCTCTTTGAGAACGAGGGATAATTCGTGGGGAGGGAGGGAGTCGATGCTGTTTTCATCTCTCGGTATTTCGCGCTTGATTGAGTTTTACTTTGGACGGAGGGAAAGGGAGGGGGAGGAGGGGGTGATATTAGAATTTGCGATTCTAGAGGCTTCGTGCCCCTTCTTTCGATGCATGCATACGCGAGTGAAATATCAACGCGCCGAGTTTTCGAATTCTCGAATTCTCTGGGATGATGTAAATGTGAAATAATAAATAATTGTTGTCGATTTCGATATTCTAGAAATGAAAAATGAAATGAATTTTTGATTCCCGTCTTTCGCACGCGGTATCTTATAAAAAAAAAAAGTATTATATATGTTATATAATTTTTATATATATGTTATACATATTTTTTAAAATTTTTTGAAAATACTTTTATTATAGTAACGAGTTAAAAATCGAAGAATCGTCTGATCTGTTGAATATTTGTGAAAACCTGTACCAAGTGATGGAGAAAGTAATTATTTTGATTTTTTGAACAACTCTTCATCGGGAAAATTGTTTTCAAGCATATCAAGCTAAAAAAAAAAGTTACTAGATGATGTATCCTCAAATATCCCCATTGATTTTTATCAAAATCATTTACCAAAAAATTTAAAAAAAAGTATATGAGAATTCAAACTACACACAAACTTATTTTCATTAATTTTCTTAAATTTTACTTTAATACCCTCCTCCCCCCCCCTCAAAAAAAAACTTTACTTTAATTCTTCAAAGAATAAATAAATTATCAGCTTTGTTTTCGTTGAAACAAAAATTCAAAACAATTTTTTCAATTCGTACACATTAATCACCGATACCGAATACCTGCACCGTGACAAATTGTATCGTTTCCAAGTTTCCCTCCCCCCCTCTCCTCCCCCTCCCAATCACGTGAACAGCACGAAAGGCCGTTTCGCGGAGGCCGAGCCATTCCAAGCATTTCCCCCGAGGTCGATGCATTCCCGAATCGAGCAAATCTGCAACGCTGGAACGCTGGAACGAATTCTCAACGTGGCCGAGAGAGAGGAGGGGGAGGGGAAGGGAAGGGTGCAATTT